TGAGCTCATTACTGAATTCATATATCTAGGATTGATGTTGGATAAGCATCTATCAATGAATTACAATTTCACTTACATATAGAAAAAAAAATTGAAGAAATTGTATTTTTTTCACAAGTGTCCCAACACAACTATGCAATCACAGATAACTGTAGATAAGACCATTATACAATCACATTTCGAATATTGTCCCACTTTTTTAAACACAAGTCATTTGAATAAAATGAGAACACTACAAAAACTACAGAATCGCACAATGAGGATTATTTTGAGATGTGACAAGAGTACCCATATATCTTTAATGTTCAATAATCTAGAATAGTTATCTATAGAAAGTAGGCTTGCATATTTAATGATAATTTATATTTACTAAATGTTACATAACCTTCTTTCTACCTTCATATTTTGACAAATTTTTTTATTTTTAACAATCAAATCCATCAGCACAATACTAGAATAAGAAATAATTTATATGTAGATAATCAAACAAAAACGTTCAGCACTAAAACATTAATTTTTATAGGATTTATTGAGTACCTATAACAGTCTACCTGAAAATGTCAAGTCTTCTAACAGTCTTATTCTGTTCTAAAGAAATCTATTAAATCATTTAAGAGACCATTAAGGCGATACCAAATTATTATGTATTATTTTTTTTGTATTTTCAATTATCCTAGTTTAGACTACTTATTAAAAAATATCAGTAGATATTTTCTTCTATTATTGTATATTATTATTAACATTATTATTATTGTTGTATATTAGAATGTATCCTATTTGAATGAAGGCATTTCATTTCATTTCATTTTTCAATTTTTCCAATAGTTCCATCCTGTTACTCAAACACCCACAAATTAATTTTAGCACCGTTAGCACTCACTCAAACAAATTACTATTCTAATATGCATTCATTATAATACATTGTATTCCGAAACACTTTAATCTTGTTCAACGGTGTTTGTTGTTGTTGATATGGAATATATAACATGGATGAATGCTTCCAACAAGAAACTTCAATCGAATGACAGTTCAGTCCCACGAATTTTCAATTTTACACCAGGTTAATAACATGCTGTTAATTGTTCGTCGATTGTTTTGTTCCGGTTTCGTACTCTGAAGTTATTCGGTAATATGTAGAACATGGAGAGAGATAATTAAAATAAAAAAAATATCTTAAATTATATGTGGCAGACGCTCCAGTATCAGAATATGAAAGCGTTGCATTCATTATTCAATTCCCAACAGCGCTGTTAGTCTGGGTCACAAGATCCCTTTTTTGGAACTTCTGTCCAAGGGCACCGAAAATTATGATTCAGGGCTCATTCGATTCGGAATGCCCTCTAGCACCGTTTCGGAAAATTTCAAGAGGGGCTCGAAAAAATTGCAAAAGTTATAAACAATTTAGTAAAAAAGGGAGGTTTGGTTTTTTGAAAATATTCGTATTCTCATTATTCAAAGTTACATAAAATGATTTTTCATGATATTTCACTCTATTTGTTTAAAAAATTGTTAAAAACAAATGTATTGTAATAGAGTTCCGAGAGGTGGGATTTTTTTCTAGGAAATTTCCTCCTCTTTAAGGATCTTTTTTCAAATTTCGGATATCATTAATATTTTCAGAGATATTTGCAAAAAACCAAACCAACTTTTTTTACCTAAATTGTTTATAACTTTTGCAATTTTTTCGAGCCTCTCTTGAAATTTTTCAACAAGTTGATAGATGTCATTTCGAATCGAATGAGCCCTGGATCATAATTTTCGGTGCCCTTGGACAGAAGTTCCAAAAATAGGATCTTGTGACCCAGACTATGTATTATAGTGTGTCGATGTGTCATAGATTTCAATGAATCTGAATAGCACTGTCTGATATTGGATCATGAATGCACTGAAAGATGAAGAGGCAGAAAGCAATTTCCTATCTCACAGTGGAATGGAATAGAATATAATTTATTTGACTACGTTACACAAAAAAATGTTTGTAGCAAGTCAGTGCAACTAACTGACCAAAATCTACCGTGTACCAAAATTTTAAATATTATAGATAAAAACATAAAATATAAAATGTTTAACAAATGTTGGAAATAGCCTTATTCGATTATGGAATGAAGTACCCCTTGAAAGTCCTCCCAAGAGACCGATGTTAAACATATAAAAAACCATCAGTTTTATTTTTGATTTATCACCTGCATCTGACACCATCAGCCATCAACTTCTCCTCGATAAACTATATGACATTGGAGTTCGTGGCCAATGTCTCAAATGGATTGAGATTTATCTGACTGGCAGATCACATTCTGTTAAAGTTAGGCTCAAATCGGGAATATATCATTTTGAAAATCGTAACAGGTATTCCCCAAAGTAGTGTCCTGGGTCCTAATCTCTTTCTCTTATTCGTTAACGATACATCCAGTATTAAACAACAACATTGTATGTACTGTATAGTTTGCCGATGACACGTCCTTCATATTGAGTTCTGCTTCGTGTGAAAGGTTATGTGACCAGGCTGATATTGCAGTTGCAAATATGTTTAATTACTGCTCCAGAAATGTACTCGTACTAAATAGCAACAAATCAAATATAATTGTTTTTTCACTAAGAGAAATGGATTACAGTATAGTGTACAGAAAAAGTCAGTCAAATTCTTCTTCAGTCTTCATCATATTGACTCTATTTTTAATAAACTATCCATAGTTTCATTATTTGGAATCTTAGAAATTTCGTCCCGATTAATATTTTAGCTATTATTATGCCTATGTCCACTCAAGTCTAAATTATTGCTTAGGTAACTGCAGCAGAATGAATGATTTGTTGATTGCTCAAAAAAAATTAAGAACCATTTATTTTAAATGATTGTTATTCTCACAAATTTTAACTGTGATATCCATGTATATTTCAAATTGTGTCACTTACATTAAGAATCATTACCATAAGTTTCAGCAAAAGGATTCTACTCGCATAGCCGATGGTTATACTCTTAGACAAAATTATAATCTGATAGTTCCTTTACACAAATTAACAACTGTATCAAACGGACCTCAGATTTTGTTCATTAATCCCATTAATTTAAAAAATATTGTTGAAAGTATCCTCTACAAAAATGCCTTTTAGTCACTTGATTATTGTTTGCTTATTTACTATTCTACTGAATATTACTGGAGTTTTCTTCAGAACCAAACCGTTGTTTTAACACCTCGACATGTGTTTTGATCACTAACTGATCATCTTCAAGAGAAAGAGGAAGTGTATGTACATAAACTTGAAAAAGCTACTGTGCTAGCGAAACATGTTGTGATTATATATTTTTTCAAATAAAGTTTTTCAATTGTATGTACATAAACTTGAAAAAGCTACTGGGCTAGCGGAACATCTTGTGATTATATATTTTTTCAAATAAAGTTTGTTGAGATCAAATCGTGAGGTGTAGTTTTTGAAAAAATCTAAGCATTCTAAGAAGTTCAAGGATAGCAAACAGCAGGTACCGACAAACTGCCTAATCCAGGTATAGGTATTAGCACTCCAAACTACTAGACACTGCATAAATACGTGTTACGAAACCGTAAGATTCAGTCATCGGATATTAACCCAAGATTTCAAATCAAGTTATCTTATATTAGACAATGGAAGTTTGAACTGATGAAATACACTACGAAACATTGTCAACCACCTTCAACAAACGTAGAATTCTACTATTGTTCATACTATTTTTTTATTTTATATGATCATCTCGTACAACTACTATTGATTATTTGTTTATGTACTTTATGTATATTCATTTTTTTTCACTTTATTTTTCAACTCCTACTTCTACATGTTCTATGTGACGATTTCCAATCTTGTAAAAAAGTCTCAGAAAAATAAAGTATTGATTGATTGATCTTTTTGAAAATCCTTATAGAAGATGAGAGAATTTTTTAAATATAATTTGCAATTTTGAAAATATTTTCACATTTGTGGTTACCTATAATGGACTGTTCCAAAAATAAGGTAAATGTTCAAATTTCGCGGGCTACGTTTTAATAATTTTCTATGTTGGTACACTCGTCTCGAACATATGTTAACAGTTTCAGCTGTTGAGCATGTTTCGTTTGTTGGTGAAAGGCATTCAATTTAGAAGTGTTTTGAATTTTCTGCCATCGACAAAAATTTATCAAAGAATTCGCATCAAATTTTGTGTAAAAAATGGGATTTAGTGCTCAGGAACACTTGAAATGGTTGACAGTGACTTACGGTGATAGTATTCTGGGTAAGATATGTTTAGAAGTAGTACAAAATTTTTCACAGAAGGTCGAGAAAATGTGAATGACGACGCTTGCCCAAATTAGCTCAGAAGGGTCATAACTGGTGACGAATCATAGGTATATGGTTATGGCATCGAAACCAAATTCCAGTCGTTCCAATGAAAGAGCCCGCCAGAGACAATACAAAGAAAGCACGCCAAGTTTGATCAGATGTTAAGGTTTTGCTCACTGTTCTCTTCGATTACCGTGACGTAGTGCGTCAGAAGTTTCTGCCACATGGTCGTACGATCATTAAGGAGTATTATCTTCAGTTATGCGCCGCTCATTCGTCATTGCTGGTTCGTAATTTGTTGTCCAAAAACAGCACCGTGATCATGCCTCAGCCACCGTATTCACCAGATTTGACCCCCGCGACTCTTTCCTGTTCCCAAGATTGAAGATACCAATGAAAAAACGACGTTTTGCGACGATCGAGGAGTTAAAAATAGAATCGCTGCCCAAGGACATACCAAAAATTACATATCAAAAGTGCTTCGAGGATTGGAAAAAACGTTGGCACAAGTGTATTTATCTGAGGGGGACCAAATAGATGAATATTTTTTTGAATATGAAAATTTGCCTTATTTGTATACAACTAAAAATGAATATACTCTTCGACTAACAGTGAAGAGTGTTAGAAAAATAAATTTTTGTTTTTTTGTATCAACTGCCTTATCACTAACAATTTTATTGCATTTTTTAATATAAGTACCTTTTTTTCAGTTGTCCGACGAAGTCACAAGAAAGAAAACCGAATATCAAAAATATCTGGAATTGTACAAACTGATGCGCTGTAAATTCGAAGAACACTATGTTAAGTGTAAGTATAACCTCTAACTCTTTAGGAAACACTTGATATTTTCGCAATATCCTTTAACTCACTCGATAATTTCTATACCACTAGCGACTTTTCTGAGTAACTACATCAAAAGTTAGAGATAGATTCAGATATTTGTCCTAAATATTCGATTTATACGTACCTTCGGACTGGATCATTAAGTTTGCACTGCAGCATTTCATCAATTACAAAGGTGTTGATGTGTACTACAGGTTGTTTCAAAAGTTTTGTTCGTTTTCATGAGTGTTTAAACTGTAATAGCTCAGTGAATACTCAATTCAATCAAAATAAGCGCCATTTGATCTGGTGAACTTTTGCCAACGTAACAGAAGTCGATTAATTACATCAGCATGAAAATCGTGTGCTCGGGATTCGATGAGATCGACGAAGGCCAATTTTGCCTAGTCCTGATTAGCGAAGGTTCAACCGGTGAGATGTTCATGGAAGTGCTTGAAATGATGGTAGTCGGTGTTCGAGAAGTCTGGGGAGTATGGTGGGTGAGGCAGACCTCCTACGCTCAATTCGTTTAATTTTCGGACGGTGACTTGTGTATTGGACTTATTCTATTGACCAGTGCCGGCGGCTGCAGACGCAATTTTCAGTACATTTCGTTTGGTTTGAACGTTTCCTGTTGTCGTAGAGGATCCACTTTTCATCACACATGACGATCCGATCCAAAGAAATGATCGTTTTGGATGCATTGAAGCGAAGAAGTATAAACTTCGAATTGTGACAATTTTTATCGATCGTTCAAATTGTGGAACACCCACTTTTCGACCTTTTTGACCTTTCCAAAATGTTTTAAACCATAAAAAAACTAATAGGAGCTGACGCCCAGTTCTTTCGCCATCTCACCCACCATTTGTAATGGGTCAGTCTCCACCAGGGTCCTCGAATCCTCGACTTGGTTTACTGTAGGTTGACCACCTCGAAGCTCATTTTCGAAGCAAAAATCTCCGGAATGAAATTTTGCAAACCAACATAGTGCGTTCATTAACACTATCATTGCCAAATGCCGGGATTTTTCGGATATGAATGTATAGAATCACATGACATTAAAGCGGACAACACTTTTGAAACAACCAATATCTACAAATGAAGCCAGTTTCGAATCGAATTTGGTAGTCTGGGGAGTTAAACGGAAGCAAAAGAAGTCGCTTATAGAAGCTAGCTTGCAAGATTTGAAGAAATGTTCATATAAGTAAACAAACCTGAATGTTTTCGACATGAAACAAAATAGTATTTGGAGATAGAAAATAATAGAATAGAAAATATAAAAGGGAAGACCAAAATAATCAACTTTATGTTGAAACGGGATCGAGAAAGTTTGCTTTTGCAAATTAATCATACTCTTCCACTCGTTCCGATGACGTGAATCAGATCACTTTAAGGAACGGTAATGATGCAAACATATTATGCAGATACATTTACGTAAACGTCCTCCCAGATACACATTATGCACATTTTAGCCGGATAAACTTCTCAAGTTTTTTAAAAATAGACCTTGGCAGAGTTGGCGTTGCTTTGATAATAGGTAATGTAAGGAAATTAAATTTAGTTCAGGTTGAAACTTCGAAATTTGCAGCAGTTGTGCTCACGTACTACAAAAAAATATAGGAAACATGTGTTTTGTTATATGAGTTTCCATAAGATTGCAGCGTGAGTAGCTTTTTTATAGCAGAGATTTATGACAAACAAGAATTCAATATTGAATGATGTTTTGCAAGATTAACAAACTCATTTCGAGTCATGCTTCTAATATTATCTGATATCCGTGTTGAATTATCATTCGTTGCTTTATTTTCTTGCAATGTCACCACCTACACCGTTCTAGAAATAGTTCGCAAAAATAATTCTATTATGTAGTGTTCAAATATTTTACATTTATTTTCAAAGATTTCCACGTGGTATTGTGTAACATTATTGTACTTGTATCTAATGTAGATTTTCCAGTTTGATATTAATAGGAAAAGTAATGTATGTACGTCGCCATTTGAATATTTCACGAAAAAATTAAAATTTATTATCTAATCCTGCTTCTTTGCTGCATCTCACTATTATTGTTATCATTAATAGTGAAAACTCATGGATACAGCTGTGTCACCCATTTATTTTATTCGAATGATTTCGAACTTAGTTGTTAGGGGTAATTTATTATTTCTAAATGGTTTCATATTATTACAGAAGCGTAGAAGGGCCAAAGATTATTTGTTTATTTGATCCCCCATAATTTCGACTTAAAAATCGAAATTTCGACTTTTATCTCGTAATTTCGACTTTTATTTCGTAATTTCGATTTTTATTTTGTCATTTCGACTTTTATCTCGTAATTTCGACTTTTATTTCGTAATTTCGACTTTTATCTCGTAATTTCGAGTTTTACTCGTAACTTCGACTTTTATCTCGTAATTTCGACTTTTATCTCGTAATTTCGGCTTTTATCTCGAAATTTCGACACTCTTTTCAAATCATTTCGACGGTGCTCCAATTTTCTCATAGTGGTATGTTTTTTACGAAGAAATATGACAGAAACCGATTTTATTGAATACTCGAAGCCTACTCATTTTTTAATTGGACCTTCGGGAACCATTCTGCTCCAGTTAGTTTTTTTGGCGTCATTAGATCTCTACGATTTTTCGAAATGAGGAGAGAAAACCCAAAATACCTAATAAATGAACATTGTATCTCTTCGAAGAACATACCGACAGTATTATTTGGTTGCCATTGCAAACTGTGTTTCTACATGACGTTTAAGATATGAATGTGTAGAGTATTCTTTTAAAATGTTAATACATTTCTGCTAGAAATTTCTTCAGTTGTAGTGAATAAGTTTTGCTAATGAAGTAAGGATATTACTGATCAGATTGATTTACTATGATGAGAAACTTATATTTTGGCCAAAGTCGACTTTCTCCTACTCGTACGGAAAGCATTTCCTTTTTCAAAAAGGTACTGAATAATATCAATGCATAATATCAATGCATAATTATCAATCTAAAATTTATTCAAATAAAATAATCAATTCACTTCTCGGGTTAATGTATAAATCAATTGAGGCATAAGGATCTAGGGACCTTGTGTAAATATTTTTTTGATAAAAATTGAACATAATTTCCAAAAATCTTCATCACAGGCTGTCCAAGGATATGTATACTCCGACGAAAAATGTTTAAAAGCGAATGATGGAATCTTGATGAGGTGATCTATAACTCCACGAAAGGAAGGCATCGCATGCAATATATAAACTTGGTCTCCTTGCCTGGAGCAATAGCATTTCTTGTTTTCCGTATTCTATGAATACTCCATTCAAAACATACTTGATCAAGATCACTCTGAAATAAAAATTATAATTAAAATGTCATTAACAACAACTCATCTCTTACTTGTACTAATGGTATGAAACAAAATTGAACTAGAGACTTGTCCGAAAATGATGCATCAAATAAATTGTCTTCTATTAGGGATTGAAATAAATTCATACAGTATTGTGCATTTACTTAATGTAGACTACCAAGATTCTATCCTTTGATTGTGCATGCTTTTTCCATAGAAAAAAACATGGTCCATTTCTTGATTCAGTAAATACTTCATGAAAGGCTTTTTGTATCCGCTCCATTACTTCATTTTCAGTGCATATATCGGTTCGTAAAGTTCTGGGACATCCTCCTTTTGAAAAATATCCTTCAATTACCTTTAAAATTACAAATTCTTCAAGTGTGAAGATGAGAAATAATAAATAGTGTGGTGAAATTTAATGAAATATCATTGACACTAGCATGTTCAAAAATGTATATTCAACTGAAATATTTGTTCTTGTTTCAACATCATTTCAAAATTATTATTGTTGAAATTATTGATTGATTCAGAGTAAATGATTTTTTCTAACCTTAGGGTCGCTTGAGATTGATCCCACTTTCAACCACATATTTCCATTGAAATTTCAATCACACAACAATTACACGAACCTCCTGTTAATATCACCTCGTAGTAAATTATAATGCACTCAAGGAAACATATTTCTACTTTTGAGGCAAAATTATGACTTTCAAGTCGAAATTACGAGATGAAAGTCGAAATTACGAGATAAAAGTCGAAATTACGAGATTAAAACTCGAAATTACGAGATAAAAGTCGAAATTACGAAATAAAAGTCGAAATTACGAGATAAAAGTCGAAATTACGAGATAAAAGTCGAAATTACGAGATAAAAGTCGAAATTACGAAATAAAAGTCGAAATTACGAGATAAAAGTCGAAATGACAAAATAAAAATCGAAATTACGAAATAAAAGTCGAAATTACGAGATAAAAGTCGAAATTTCGACTTTTAAGTCGAAATTATGGTGGATCAAATAAACAAATAATCTTTGGCCCTTCTACGCTTCCGTATATTATTGATAACTATTATATTTAATTTTAAGAGTTCTATATACGTTTTTTTTACCCGATTTACTATTCTTATCTTGGAAATGGTGAGACTCACGTGTTTGGTTGAATGAATTTGCTCGTTAGTAGACACAATAAAAACCTTTTTACAGATCATGAAATATTGTTGGTCTACCCTCCCCGTCTAAAATTATAATGAAATAAGAAAGGCCGTTTTTTTGCTGTTTTATTGGATTCCATCATAAACAAATTCAGCCATGTACCGCAACAAATGTATTTCTCGATGCAAATCTAAATGTTATTCGATAAGTAGAGTTGGAACCTCTGGAGTTGAATGAATCTGAATAAAGTACTTTTCCCACACCAGAACAAAATCACGGTCTCTGATGATGCTAAGTTTGTTGGCGAAACGCGCATTGTTTTGTTCTTGTGCAAAAAAATGCTTTCTTTAGATTCAAGTCATATAATTCTCTGTCGGAGATTTTTCAAAATAGTAGAGACCAGAAAGTCATATATGAAAGTATTGTAACAAAATAGACTCTAGGGGGCTCAGGAAGAAAGCAAATAGGTTCGGCTGGGACGTAGTCAGCTACAAAA